CCTAGGGCGTCGGTATGACGTCACACCTGCCGTTAAGTATTTGAAAAGGACGTGTGCAGAATTATGTAAATACCAGCCATATCTATTAAACCATCAGTGACTCTCAACAGCACATATAAGTGTGACTCACCCAGGGTCAGTAGCCCAAGGGCTCACAATGCGAATTTTACCTTGAGCATTGGGGTGATAGTAAACCACTCATACAGTCAGTTTGATCATAAAAGTTAGATCAAACGCTGGCTGTTAGGTGTATAATTACTGTGGGAGGTGCCGAATGGAAAAAAAGGCAGTAATGAAACCCTATAACAGAAACAGGCAATAATGAAGCCTTATGGCAGAAATGCAATAGTATATCAATCAACAATGCACCTATAATGCAACCGCATATGAGTGATCAGCTGATCGCTCCAGTGTTTGTCCTGCACAGAGGATTGGTACATATCACTGATATGTACCGATCCTCTGCCGCTCAGCCACGCACACGGGGGCTCAGCTTCTCCTCTGGATCCCCCCTGCTCTCCCGGGCAGAGGCAGCGGGGGATCCGAGGAGAAGTGAAAGAAGCACTTCAGCCGCGTGGGGGGCGGAGGACGGAGCCGCTGTCACAGAACTAGGGCCGAGCGGTGAGGGGAGAGAGAGGCACCGGCTGTCAGAACCTGGCCGAGCATCTCTCTCTCTCCGCTCGGCTTTAGTTCTGTGACAGCGGCTCCCTCATCCGCCCCCCTGCCGCCGGCTGCAGCGGTTCCTTCACTTCTTCTCGGATCCCCGCTGCATACAGATGGGGAGAGCAGCCGAGATCCAGAGAAGCCCCACGGGCGGGAGGAGAGGACATTGCGATCACTGGTAGATTGCGGTCGACCTTATGGGCACCCCTGCTGTAAGTGATATGAGGCTCTACCTAGTCAATCTGTATCCAATCAGGCAGACCCCTGCACTACATAGTTGCTGGTAGATCTATAGGAGATTGTTCAATCAGATTGTAACGTGTGTAGTGAGCTTTAGGGCTCATGCACACATGCATATTTAAAAAATGCCCATCTACACAGGAGAGTGCTGACAGATGCTTCCTGCATAAAAAATGCATGAATTGGTCCGTAAAGTGCTTTTGTTTACACACAAATATATATCCGCACAGCATTCAGACACATGTCCGTGCGGCGTGCACACCCGTATTGGGCCGTTCCCGAGAGGGACAGGTGCTGCATGTAGCAGCTTGTTCTTCCCTATGGGTGGACAAGGCCGTACGCTGTCATACGCAAAGCCAAACAGCACATCCTCGAGTTAGCGCAGTGTGAATGAGGCCTTAACCCTTTCGCTGCCAAGGACGTATGGCGTACGGACCTACAAAAGTGCTTCCAGCTGGCCAGGTCAGTATGCCATACGGACCTGGCATTTACAGTTCTACTATAAGCTGATGGTCGCTTTAGCGACCATCAGCTTATAGTAGAACTGTAAATGCCAGGTCCGTATGGCATACTGACCTGGCCAGCTGGAAGCACTTTTGTAGGTCCGTACGCCATACGTCCTTGGCAGCGAAAGGGTTAAGGCCTCATTCACACTGCGCTAACTCGAGGATGTGCTGTTTGGCTTTGCGTATGACAGCGTACGGAGCCGCTGTCATCCGGGACCTGACATGATGACAGCGGCTCCGTACGCTGTCATACGCAAAGCCAAACAGCACATCCTCGAGTTAG